CTCCTTTCCATCGCTCCTTTCCATCGCTCCTTTCCATCGCTCCTTTCCATCGCTCCTTTCCAGCGCTCCTTTCCAGCGCTCCTTTCCATCGCTCCTTTCCAGCGCGCCTTTCCAGCGCTCCTTTCCATCGCGCCTTTCCAGCGCTCCTTTCCATCGCTCCTTTCCAGCGCTCCTTTCCATCGCTCCTTTCCAGCGCTCCTTTCCATCGCTCCTTTCCAGCGCTCCTTTCCAGCGCTCCTTTCCATCGCTCCTTTCCATCGCTCCTTTCCATCGCTCCTTTACATCGCTCCTTTCCAGCGCTCCTTTCCAGCGCTCCTTTCCAGCGCTCCTTTCCAGCGCTCCTTTCCAGCGCTCCTTTCCATCGCTCCTTTCCAGCGCTCCTTTCCAGCGCTCCTTTCCATCGCTCCTTTCCAGCGCTCCTTTCCAGCGCTCCTTTCCAGCGCGCCTTTCCAGCGCGCCTTTCCCAGCGCGCCTTTCCATCGCTCCTTTCCAGCGCTCCTTTCCAGCGCTCCTTTCCAGCGCTCCTTTCCAGCGCTCCTTTCCAGCGCTCCTTTCCAGCGCGCCTTTCCATCGCTCCTTTCCAGCGCGCCTTTCCATCGCTCCTTTCCATCGCTCCTTTCCATCGCTCCTTTCCATCGCTCCTTTCCAGCGCGCCTTTCCAGCGTTCCTTTCCAGCGCTCCTTTCCAGCGCTCCTTTCCAGCGCTCCTTTCCATCGCTCCTTTCCCAGCTCCTTTCCGTGCCTTTCCAGCGCTCCTTTCCAGCGCTCCTTTCCAGCGCTCCTTGGCGTTACAATCTCAGCTATAAGAGGTAATGAGGCCCCTGAACTCCAATCCCGCCCTTCGCGTTCAAAGCATTCATATCCTTTATGGGGTGAAGGACAATCTGGGGGATTAAAGTGTCCCTGAACCCCCTGCAGTACAATCCGTCTGTAGATGCAGCAAAGCATGCTGGTTATACTCACTATGGAACCTAAGGGGTTAATCCTCCACATTGATAAAAAGGCTGATTGATCCTGTCTTCTCTGATCCTCCCCTTCTTCCAGTGTCCCCCTCTTATCACCTACGAAGGTGTCATATATCGGGATAGATCCCTACGAAGGTGTCATCATTAATCAGGATAGATCCCTACGAAGGTGTCGTCATATATCGGGATAGATCCCTACGAAGGTGTTGTTATATATCGGGATAGATCCCTACGAAGGTGTTGTCATATATCGGGATAGATCCCTACGAAGGTGTTGTCATATATCGGGATAGATCCCTACGAAGGTGTCATATATCGGGATAGATCCCTACGAAGGTGTCATATATCGGGATAGATCCCTAGGAAGGTGTCATATATCGGGATAGATCTCTACGAAGGTGTCATATATCGGGATAGATCCCTACGAAGGTGTCATATATCGGGATAGATCTCTACGAAGGTGTCATATATCGGGATAGATGCCTGTGAAGGTGTCCTATATCGGGATAGATCCCTACGAAGGTGTCATCATTAATCAGGATAGATCCCTACGAAGGTGTCATATATCGGGATAGATGCCTGTGAAGGTGTCATATGTCTGGATAGATCCCTAGGAAGGTGTCATATATCGGGATAGATCTCTACGAAGGTGTCATATATCGGGATAGATCTCTACGAAGGTGTCATATATCGGGATAGATGCCTGTGAAGGTGTCATATGTCGGGATAGATCCCTAGGAAGGTGTCATATATCGGTATAGATCCCTACGAAGGTGTCGTATATCGGGATAGATCTCTACGAAGGTGTCATATATCGGGATAGATCCCTACGAAGGTGTCATATGTCGGGATAGATGCCTGTGAAGGTGTCATATATCGGGATAGATCCCTACGAAGGTGTCATCATTAATCAGGATAGATCCCTACGAAGGTGTCATCATTAATCAGGATAGATCCCTATGAAGGTGTCGTCATATATCGGGATAGATCCCTATGAAGGTGTCGTCATATATCGGGATAGATCCCTACGAAGGTGTTGTCATATATCGGGATAGATCCCTACGAAGGTGTCATATATATCGGGATAGATCCCTACGAAGGTGTCATATATCGGGATAGATCCCTAGGAAGGTGTCATATATCGGTATAGATCCCTACGAAGGTGTCATATATCGGGATAGATCTCTACGAAGGTGTCATATATCGGGATAGATCCCTACGAAGGTGTCGTATATCGGGATAGATCTCTACGAAGGTGTCATATATCGGGATAGATGCCTGTGAAGGTGTCATATGTCTGGATAGATCCCTAGGAAGGTGTCATATATCGGTATAGATCCCTACGAAGGTGTCGTATATCGGGATAGATCTCTACGAAGGTGTCATATATCGGGATAGATCTCTACGAAGGTGTCATATATCGGGATAGATCCCTACGAAGGTGTCATATATCGGGATAGATGCCTGTGAAGGTGTCATATGTCGGGATAGATGCCTGTGAAGGTGTCCTATATCGGGATAGATCCCTACGAAGGTGTCATATATCGGGATAGATGCCTGTGAAGGTGTCATATATCGGGATAGATCCCTACGAAGGTGTCATATATCAGGATAGATGCCTGTGAAGGTGTCATATGTCGGGATAGATGCCTGTGAAGGTGTCATATGTCGGGATAGATGCCTGTGAAGGTGTCATATGTCGGGATAGATGCCTGTGAAGGTGTCATATATCGGGATAGATGCCTGTGAAGGTGTCATATGTCGGGATAGATGCCTGTGAAGGTGTCATATATCGGGATAGATCCCTACGAAGGTGTCATATGTCGGGATAGATGCCTGTGAAGGTGTCATATATCGGGATAGATCTCTACGAAGGTGTCATATATCGGGATAGATCCCTACGAAGGTGTCGTATATCGGGATAGATCTCTACGAAGGTGTCGTATATCGGGATAGATCTCTACGAAGGTGTCGTATATCGGGATAGATCCCTACGAAGGTGTCGTATATCGGGATAGATCCCTACGAAGGTGTCGTATATCGGGATAGATGCCTGTGAAGGTGTCATATGTCGGGATAGATGCCTGTGAAGGTGTCATATGTCTGGATAGATGCCTGTGAAGGTGTCATATGTCGGGATAGATGCCTGTGAAGGTGTCATATGTCGGGATAGATGCCTGTGAAGGTGTCATATGTCGGGATAGATGCCTGTGAAGGTGTCGTATATCGGGATAGATGCCTGTGAAGGTGTCATATGTCGGGATAGATGCCTGTGAAGGTGTCATATGTCGGGAGAGATGCCTGTGAAGGTGTCATATGTCGGGAGAGATGCCTGTGAAGGTGTCATATGTCGGGAGAGATGCCTGTGAAGGTGTCGTATATCGGGATAGATGCCTGTGAAGATGTCATATGTCGGGATAGATGCCTGTGAAGGTGTCATATATCGGGATAGATCCCTACGAAGGTGTCATATGTCGGGATAGATCCCTACGAAGGTGTCATATGTCGGGATAGATCCCTACGAAGGTGTCGTATATCGGGATAGATGCCTGTGAAGGTGTCATATGTCGGGATAGATGCCTGTGAAGGTGTCATATGTCTGGATAGATGCCTGTGAAGGTGTCATATGTCGGGATAGATGCCTGTGAAGGTGTCATATGTCGGGATAGATGCCTGTGAAGGTGTCATATGTCGGGATAGATGCCTGTGAAGGTGTCGTATATCGGGATAGATGCCTGTGAAGGTGTCATATGTCGGGATAGATGCCTGTGAAGGTGTCATATGTCGGGAGAGATGCCTGTGAAGGTGTCGTATATCGGATAGATGCCTGTGAAGGTGTCATATGTCGGGATAGATGCCTGTGAAGGTGTCATATATCGGGATAGATCCCTACGAAGGTGTCATATGTCGGGATAGATCCCTACGAAGGTGTCATATGTCGGGATAGATGCCTGTGAAGGTGTCGTATGTCGGGATAGATGCCTGTGAAGGTGTCATATATCGGGATAGATCCCTACGAAGGTGTCATATATCGGGATAGATGCCTGTGAAGGTGTCGTATATCGGGATAGATGCCTGTGAAGGTGTCATATGTCGGGATAGATCCCTACGAAGGTGTCGTATATCGGGATAGATCCCTACGAAGGTGTCCTATATGATAGGATGAGCGCAGTGGGTGTCATTGTCTGAATCTGTTATCTGACACCGGGGACCGCACTGATCCAGATGGGCACTGCAGGTAATGCTTCCCATTTGTAGAATTCCTCCCACTGACGGGTGTCATCTTCTGTTGCATTTTTCCTCCTTTCCTGAACTCACATTATTCAGAATCGGCTCTCAGTAGGAATCTATTAGGAGGCTGATGTGCTGAGCGGAGAGTGGGGGAGGGGGGAGTGCTGGGACCTCTCTGGCGCTGCGGAGAGTTGTGCTGACGCGCGGTGTTTTGCTCTCTACATAATGGACATCATGCCGGCTGGTTAAAGGGATTTGTGACTCAAAGTAGAACTTAGAGTTGGATGTGGGGGGCGGAATCCCCGCACCCGATGGGCAGAGCACGCCTCGCACGCCGAGATCCACTTCTATATCCGCACTCGTGTGGCGCTGGCATTTTCCGGAAGGCAGACGAACGTTCCAGAGATAAATAATGAAATGAAGAACGAGGGTTGTGTTCAGGTGACACGCTTGTCCTTCTTTCTGAATGAATGGTGGGGGGCACACTGCCTGCTGGAAGAACATTTTATATGAAAGGGGATCACAGTGGGTGGAGTCAGTCCTACTGCAGCCCCTCCATGTCCTCCAACTTCCAGGGGAACCGTCCAGGGTTAATGGTCCTGTCTGGTTGTCTGTAAATGAGCCCAACCTGCGGCCCTCGCGACCCCCGATGACACAACTATCTGGTGCCCCCAAACCATCCGGTCATCCCTGGATATGTTTATATCGAACTTTCGGAGAGAATCTCCAATGCCGCGATTTAAGAGTGAACCTTCACTTACCTGTAATGGTCTGCACAGGGAGTAGAGATTGGCCGCGTCTCCCCCCAATGTAAGGAGACATTCTTCCCACTTAGACCCCAATGTAAGGGACATTCTTCCCACTGACCACCAATGTAAGGGACATTCTTCCCACTGACCCCCAATGTAAGGGACATTCTTCCCACTGACCCCCAATGTAAGGGACATTCTTCCACTGACCACCAATGTAAGGGACATTCTTCCCACTGACCACCAATGTAAGGGACATTCTTCCCACTGACCCCCAATGTAAGGGACATTCTTCCCACTGACCCCCAATGTAAGGGACATTCTTTCCACTGACCCCCAATGTAAGGACATTCTTCCCCACTGACCCCCCAATGTAAGGGACATTTCCCACCGACCCCCAATTCCCACCGACCCCAAATGTAAGGGACATTCCTTCCCACTGGACCCCCAATGTAAGGGACATTCTTCCCACTGACCTCCAATGTTAAGGAGCACATTCTTCCCACTGAGCCCCCAATGTAAGGGACATTCTTCCCACTGACCCCCAATGTAAGGGACATTCTTCCACTGACCCCCAATGTAAGGGGACATTCTCCCACTGATCCCCAATGTAAGGGACATTCTTCCCACTGACCCCCAATGTAAGGGACATCATTCTTTCCCACTCTGGACCCCCAATGTAAGGGACATTCTTCCCACTGACCCCCAATGTAAGGGACATTCTTCCCACTGAGCCCCCAATGTAATGGGACATTCTTCCCACTGACCCCCCATTGTAAGGGACATTCTTACCACTGACCCCCAATGTAAGGGACATTCTTCCCACTGACCCCCAATGTAAGGGACATTCCTCCCACTGACCCCCAATGTAAGTGGGACATTCCCACTGACCCCCAATGTAAAGGGACATTCTTCCCATGACCCCCCAATGTAAGGGACATTCTTCCCACTGACCCCCAATGTAAGGGACATTCTTCCCACTGACCCCCAATGTAAGGGACATTCTTCCCACTGACCCCCCAATGTAAGGGACATTCTTCCCACTGACCCCCAATGTAAGGAACATTCTTCCCACTGACCCCCAATGTAAGGGATCATTCTTCCCCCACTGACCCCCAATGTAAGGGACATTTCTTCCCGTCTGACCCCCAATGTAAGGGACCAATTCTTCCCGCTGACACCCCAATGTAAGGGACAATTCCTCCCACTGACCCCCCAATGTAAGGGACATTCTTCCCACTGACCCCCCAATGTAAGGGACATCTCCACTGACCCCCAATGTAAGGGGACATTCTTCCCACTGACCCCCAAATGTAAGGGACATTCTTCCCACTGACCCCCAATGTAAGGGACATTCTTCCCCACTGACCCCCAATGTAAGGGACATTCTTCCCCCATGACCCAATGTAAGGGACATTCTTCCCACTGACCCCCAATGTAAGGGACATTCCTCCCACTGACCCCCCAATGTAAGGGACATTCTTCCCACTGACCCCCAATTGTAAGGGGACATTCTTTCCCACTGACCCCCCCCAATGTAAGGGACACATTCTTCCCACTGACCCCCAATGTAAGGGACATTCTTCCACTGACCCCCAATGTAAGGACATTCATCACCACTGACCCCCAATGTAAGGGACATTCTTCCTACACTGACCCCCCAATGTAAGGGACATTCTTCCCACTGACCCCCAATGTAAGGGGGACATTCTTCCCACTGACCCCCAATGTAAGGGACATTTTCACACTGACCCCCAATGTAAAGGGACATTCTTACCGCTGACCACAAATGTAAGGGACATTCTTCCCGACTGACCCCCAATGTAAGGACATTCCTCCCAATGACCCCCAATGTAAGGGACATTCTTCCCACTGACCCCCAATGTAAGGGACATTCTTCCCACTGACCCCCAATGTAAGGGACATTCATTCCCATTGACCACCAATGTAAGGGACATTCTTCCCACTGACCCCCAATGTAAGGGACATTCTTCCCACTGACCCCCAATGTAAGGGACATTCTTCACACTGATCACCAATGTAAGGGGACATTCTTCCCAAATGAACCCCCCAATGTAAGGGACATTCTTCACACTGATTCTTTCACCAATGTAAGGGACATTCTTCCCACTCACCCCCAATGTAAGGGACATTCTTCCCACTGACCCCCAATGTAAGGGACATTCTTCCCACCTGACCACCAATGTAAGGGACATTCTTCCCACTGACCCCAATGTAAGGGACATTCTTCCCACTGACCACCAATGTAAGGGACATTCTTCACACTGATCACCAATGTAAGGGACATTCTTCCCACTGACCACCAATGTAAGGGACATTCTTCCCACTGACCCCCAATGTAAGGGACGTTCTTCCCACTGACCCCCAATGTAAGGGACATTCTTCCCACTGACCCCCAATGTAAGGGACATTTTTCCCACTGACCACCAATGTAAGGGACATTTCTTCCCACTGACCCCCAATGTAAGGGACTCTTTCTTCCCATTGACAACCAATGTGTAAGGGAAATTCTTCCCACTGACTCCCCAATGTAAGGGACATTCTTCCCACTGGACCAACCCAATGTAAGGGATGTTCTTCCCACTGATCACCAATGTAAGGGACATTCTTCCCACTGACCCCCAATGTAAGGGACATTCTTCCCGACTGACCCCCAATGTAAGGGACATTCTTCCACAATGTAGGGACATTGACCCCCAATGTAAGGGACATTCTTCACAACTGACCCCCAATGTAAGGGACATTCTTCCACTGACCCCCAATGTAAGGGAAATCTTCCCACACTGACCACCAATGTAAGGGACATTCTTCCCTTCCCACTGACTCCCCCAATGTAAGGGATGTTCTTCCCATTGACAACCAATGTAAGGGACATTCTTCCATTGACCACCAATGTAAGGGACATTCTTCCCACTGACCCCCAATGTAAGGGGACATTCTTCCCACTGACCCCAATGTAAGGGAAATCTTCTTCCCTGACCACCAATGTAAGGGATGTTCTTCCCACTGACCCCCAATGTAAGGGATGTTCTTCCCATTTGACAACCAATGTAAGGGACATTTTTCCCATTGATCCACCAATGTAAGGGACATTCTTCCCACTGACCCCCAATGTAAGGGACATTCTTCCCACTGACCACCAATGTAAGGGACGTTCTTCCCACTGACCACCAATGTAAGGGACATTCTTCCCACTGACCCCCAATGTAAGGGACATTCTTCCCACTGACCCCCAATGTAAGGGACATTCTTCCCACTGACCACCAATGTAAGGGACGTTCTTCCCACTGATCACCAATGTAAGGGACATTCTTCCCACTGACACCAATGTAAGGACATTCTTTCCCACTGACCCCCAATGTAAGGACATTTCTTCCCACTGACACCCCAATGTAAGGGACATTCTTCCCCACTAGGACACTGACCCCCAATGTAAGGGACATTCTTCCCACTGACCCCCAATGTAAGGGACATTTCTTCACACTGACCCCCAATGTAAGGGACATTCTTCACACTGACCCCCAATGTAAGGGACATTCTTCACACTGATCACCAATGTAAGGGGGACATTCTTCCCACTGACCCCCAAATGTAAGGGACGTTTCTTCCCACTGACCCCCAATGTAAGGGACATCCTTTCTTCCCACTGACCCCCAATGTAAGGGTCATTCTTCCCACTGACCCCCAATGTAAGGGACATTCCTCCCACTGACCCCCAATGTAAGGGACATTCCTCCCACTGACCCCCAATGTAAGGGACATTCTTCCCACTGACCACCAATGTAATGGGACATTCTTCCCACTGTAACCCCCAATGTAAGGGACATTCTTCCCACCGACCCCCAATGTAAGGGACATTCTTCCCACGACCCCCCAATGTAAGGGACATTCTTTCCCGCTGACCCCCCAATGTAAGGGACGTTCTTCCCACTGATCCCCAAATGTAAGGGACATTCTTCCCACCGACCCCCAATGTAAGGGACATTCTTCCCGCTGACCCCCCAATGTAAGGGGATGTTCTTCCCACTGACCCCCAATGTAAGGGACATTCTTCCCTGACCCCAATGTAAGGGGACATTCTTCCCATTGACAAAACCAATGTAAGGGACATTCTTCCCACTGATCCCCAATGTAAGGGACATTCTTCCCACTGACACCCCAATGTAAGGGACATTCTTCCCACCGACCCCCAATGTAAGGGACATTCTTCCCACTGACCCCCAATGTAAGGGACATTCTTCCCACTGACCCCCAATGTAAGGGATTGTTCTTCCCACTGACCCCCAATGTATGGGATGTTCTTCCATTGACAACCAATGTAAGGGGACATTCTTCCACTGACCCCCAATGTAAGGGACATTCTTTCCACTGACCCCAATGTAAGGGACGTTCTTCCCATTGACAACCAATGTAAGGGACATTTCTTCCCACTGATCCCCAATGTAAGGGACATTCTTCCACAAACTGACCCCAATGTAAGGGACATTCTTCCCACCGACCCCAATGTAAGGGACATTCTTCCCACTGACCCCCCAATGTAAGGGACATTCTTCCCACTGACCCCCAATGTAAGGGATGTTCTTCCCACTGACCCCCAATGTAAGGGATGTTCTTCTCATTGACAACCAATGTTTCCAGAGCCCAGTAATATATGTGGGATGGTGGTGTTCCTCCTCGCAGTGAGGGTAGGGAGGATAGGGGAGGATAGGGAGGGTAGAGAGGATAAAAAAGAGAGGATAGGGAGGGTAGAGAGAGGAAAATAGGGAGGGTAGAGAGGATAGGGAGAAGAAGAGAGGATAGGGAGGATAGGGAGGGTTAGGGAGGATAGGGAGGATAGGGAAAGGTAGGGAGGGTAGGGAGGATAGAAAGAGGATAGGGAGGAAGGATAGGGAAGGAGAAGGGAAGGTAGAGAGGGTTAGAGAGGGTAGAGAGAAGTAGGGAGGATAGGATTGAGGGTAGGGAGGGTAGGGAGGGTAGGGAGGATAGGGAGGATAAGAAAGGGTAGGGAGGATAGGGAGGATAAGAGGGTAGGGAGGATAGGGAGGATAGGGAGGATAGGGAGGATAGCGAGGATAGGGAGGATAGGGAGGATAGGGAGGGTAGGGGGAGGATAGGGAGGATAGGGAAGGGAGGGTAGGGAGGGTAGGGAGGGTAGAAGGATAGGGAGAGGGTAGGAGGGTAGGGAGGGTAGAGAGGGTAGAGAGGGTAGAGGGGTATAAGGGTAGGGAGGGTAGGGAGGGTAGAGAGGATAGGGAGGGTAGAGAGGATAGGGAGAATAGGGAGGGTAGGGAGGATAGGGAGGATAGGAGGGTAGGGAGGATAGGGAGGGTAGGGAGGATAGGGAGGGAGGGAGGGTAGGACGCCATTTATTATCACAGAGGTGCTCGGCTGCTTCTGAAATCCTAATGCTAACAGAATCACCCAAATGGCCCGGATCAGAGGTCTCCACCCCCCGGATCAGAGGTCTCCGCCCCCGGATCAGAGGTCTCCGCCCCCCGGATCAGAGGTCTCCGCCCCCCGGATCAGAGGTTCCGCCCCCCCGGATCAGAGGTCTCGCGCCCCCCGGATCAGAGGTCTCCGCCCCCCGGGGGATCAGAGGTCTCAAATAGCCCCCCGGATCAGAGGTCTCCGCCCCCCCGATCAAAGGTCTCCGCCCTCCGGATCAGAGGTCTCCGCCCTCCGGATCAGAGGTCTCCACCCCCCGGATCAGAAGAAAGGTCTCCATTAAAGAAAATGGATCAGAGGTCTCCACCCCCCCGGATCAGAGGTCTCCACCCCCCCCGGATCAGAGGTCTCCACCCCCCGGATCAGAGGTCTCCACCCCCCCGGATCAGAGGTCTCCAACCCCCCCGGATCAGAGGTCTCCACCCCCCCGGATCAGAGGTCTCCACCCCCCGGATCAGAGGTCTCCACCCCCCCAGATCAGAGGTCTCCACCCCCCCAGATCAGAGGTCTCCACCCCCCCAGATCAGAGGTCTCCGCCCCCCCCCCCCCTCGGATCAGAGGTCTCCGCCCCCCCCCGGATCAGAGGTCTCCGCCCCCCCCCCCGGATCAGAGGTCTCCGCCCCCCCGGATCAGAAAGGTCTGCCCCCCCCCGGATCAGAAGTCTCCGCCCCCCCGGATCAGAGGTCTCCGCCCCCCCGGGATCAGAGGTCTCCGCCCCCGGATCAGAAGTCTCCGCCCCCGGGAATATCCGACCTTGGTACAGACAAGATAAGGTGACAGAACATGGGTTACAGTGGCAATTAAAGGGTCATTTCCCCCTTCTGTGGCTTCATACATCACTATCAGTGTCATTGGTGTATTAAATAGTAAATGAGATTTTATCTCTCACGTAGAGGCACTGAGCAAGGCTAGATACTGAGCCATGGGGTAGCAGAAAGGAACTGTCAAAAAACCTGCGTAACAAGGTAATGGAAACATGGAAAATGTATAGGACAAAGGGAGTTTGTCCTGGATAGGCAGATACATTTCCCCGATATGTTGTGTGTGGTCTCATTAAGGGAGACAATTGCAGAGACTACCAGGACTTTGGTCCCAAAGGGTTAAGTCCCAGGTGAGGGAGGAAATCAGCAGGTGTGTCAGGGAAGTGAATGGGAGAGATCACAAGCTGTGTTGGCAAGTGGAAAGCCTTCAGACAAGCTGAAAACACGGGGTGCTGATCCCCCAATGTGGCCTAATTCATCCAAAAGGTGTTCTATGGAGACTAGCGAGCCAGGGCTCCTTCCCCCGACATCAGTGCCCCTCCCCCGACATCAGTGCCCCTCCCCCGACATCAGTGCCTGACCTGACGTAAAATGTGCTTCTGGAAGAATGGTCCACCTTCCATAGACACCCTCCTAAACCGTTGTGACGGCCTTCACCAGAAGGCTGCAAAGGGCGGGCCAACTCAATATTGGACCCTACGGACTGAGACTGGGGGGCCAATAAAGGTCATGTGTGTGGAAAGGGCGGGGCCAACTCAATATTGGACCTACGGACTGAGACTGGTTGGGGCCATTAAAGGTCATGGGGTGTGTGGAAAGGGCGGGGCCAACTCAATATTGAACCCTACGGACTAAGACTGGGAGGCCATTAAAGGTCATGTGTGTGGAAAGGGCGGGGCCAACTCAATATTCGAACCCTACGGACTGAGACTGGGGGGCCATTAAAGGTCATGTTTGTGGAAAAAAAAGGGCGGGGCCAACTCACTAAATTGAACCCTACGGACTGAGACTGGGGGCCATTAAATGTTTCATGTGTGTGGAAAGGGCGGGGCCAAATTTTTTCAATATTGAACCCTACGGATGATGACTGGGGGGCCATTAAAGGTCATGTGTGTGGAAAGGGCGGGGGCCAACTCAATATTGGACCCTACGGATGAGACTGGGGGGCCAATAAAGGTCATGTGTGTGGTAAGGGCGGGGAACTCAATATTGAACCCTAGGACTAAAATTGGAGGCCAATTAAAGGTCGTGTGTGTGGAAAAGGGCGGGGCCAACTCAATATTGAACCCTCGGACTCGAAAAATAACTGGGGGGCCATTAAAGGTCACT